TTGTAGATGGAGTTTTTTCCATCAATAAAGATAATAATAGTAATAATGAAAATAAAAACACTTTTCAATTGGTTTATAGTTGAAGATGTTGAACTTAAATATTTTTTGTAATTATTAATATAATTTGAAAACACTACTATACGTTTTTGAGCTGTAAAATATTATATAATAATATACATTTATTTATTTTTTAATACAATTAATACTTAATAGGTACCTAAAAAATAATAATATGTCAATTCTCAATAATATATTGAAGTCTGGATTTAGTTAAGTTTCTGGTTAAATTCCTATTGAATAGACTATAGAGAATAATTTGGTACTCTGCAAGTCGTCCAGAGAATCAACCGCTATATAATACCGGAATATACCAATATGCCTACCTACCTACCTATAATACTAGGTCTGATACTCGATATTAGTGCTAAAATGTTATTTTTTAAATACAACACAACCAGTGGCGCATCAAGGATTTGTTTTCGAGGGGTTGTGTCACTTATATACACCAGATTATAAAGTACGTGCGATGTTTGGTGTTTCGATCGTAATTCGTAGGTAGGTAATCATTAGATCGTAGATGTCAGATGAGCTAAAATTGACAAATATTGAAAGGGGCGCATGAAAAGTCCACCAGGAGAACCTTTTTTAGTGTAAACTAAGCCGGGAAAATAAAAAAAGGTATAATTAGGTTCATGTAAACTCCGCCTGCAGTGACAAAAATCAGGTAGAATTGAGTTCATGTGAACTCCGCGGCCAGTGAAGAAAATCAAGTAACAGTATAGGTACACTATACAATTAATATAATTTAAAGATTATTATTAAACAAATAATCATAAATTTATAATAATAATAATTACCCTTATTAAATAAGTATATGCCAAAAAATATAATAAAATTAAAAATAAAAATAACAATATTCGAACAAATCATACAAACTGCAATGGCAAGTAACTATATTACGTAAAAAATAATGATAGACAATTGTAATAAGTAATAATCAAAAAAGGTGTAGGAATATTATATTATTATGACATTATATGTTATAATAATTATAACATTTTCAACTGTGAACTAAAATTATGAGATACGATTCGTAGATATGCAAACCATTAAGTCTAATATAAATCCAATATTATAACTATTTAGTAGTTACCCCGTGATGTTTGTACGTAAGTGTATGATTTAACTCTAAAGTATCAAAGTTATACCAAGTTTGAATTAATACAAAATCATAGCCTAACATAACCGTACTAATATCAGATGAATAAAAAAAAAACAAATTTAATCATTTTTAAATTAGCCCGTTTTCTGCCCAGAGGTTTAATCTACACACAAACATTAATTTATATATATATGTATATACCTACTGACAAAAAATAATTATACAAATCAACAAACATGCCCGATTAACCAATAGCAAACAATATAATATAATACACTGTTGCGCGCCACTGTTGTATTTTTACATCCAGATTTCCTAATTTTCAGTTGGATTTTCCAGAAATAAAATTTTCCTTCTTCTGGTAATTACGAACATCTTAAAAAAAATTTGAGCCAAATCTGACCAGCCGTTCTCGAGTTTTAGCGAGACTAACGAACAGCAATACATTTTTCTATATTATATGGATAACCATCTCCTAGATTGGAGATTTGAAAATAAAGTGATAATTTCTTAAAAATCTGCTTTACGTACCTACCTACTTGTTATTTCTGATTAAATTTTCATTATTGCTAACGCAAAACATCTTTCTATTGGTATTAGAATTTAGATTTATGCACATTCAAGGGCATAAAACTATAGAAGTCAGATGAGCTAGAATTGACAAATATTTGAATATGCAATCAAATCCATAAATCACTTTAGCTTTTAAGTTACAATATCTACCATTGGAGGTATAAAACATAGGGAACTACCTAATAACAAAAAATTATTAATAGGTACTATCAAAAATTCATAACTTCAACAAATAAAATCACTACTAATACATTAGCAAATAAATAATAATGATACTATTTTTAAACCTCAAATTTATAAATAAAATATGTACTATTCATTATTGTTTATTTATTAAATACTTAATTACAATTTCGATATACATATTATATTATTATGCTAAGATTACATATTAGTGTTGTCAATAAGTGACATATTTACAATTTACTCAAATCACTGAGGTACAAAAAAACTGAAACATAATTTATATGCTTATTAGTTATTATATCCTAAACTATTGTACAACGCAAATGATAAAACATTATAATATTATACCTTTATATTCACGTAATAATTAATAACATATAGTATAATATAACGCAAATGCATAAAAATTCAGTCAAAGTGAATCACAGATATAATTGAGTGAAGTTAAAATACTGCGATATTAATTGTTATAAGCGTAAATCTGAGTAAAAATAATATAATAATAAAAACACTAAAAGGTACGTAACTAAGTGTTGCTGGCTGAAAAATAAATAAACATTCAAACGAGATAACCACGGATACTAGCAGGTCGGTATATCGACACTGAATAATAAACAAATTTAATTATTAATTTAGCTAAAAAAAACAGTGTGCACTATATTTAACAGTTTTTCTTTTTGGAATTTTGCGTCGATTTATATAGTATCTCCAAAATAATCTACAACCGAAAGCGATCACGTTAAGATGGAGATGATGATCATATATTAGAAAACTGTCGAATATTCAGGAAGTAGTAGGTAAGACTAATAAATAACGAAATTCTTAAATGCGGCGATATTGATCATTGTACAAATTATAGACCCATATAGATATATCCTTCTATCTCTTTGCATAATCCAAAATATTAAAAAAAAACAACGTTTGATTGATTTTTTAAATATACATACATTTTTACTACAAACTAATTTGGATTTTGGAAAAATAAATCAACAAAATTCGCACTGTTATTAGCTTCCAATTTTATTCATTCTAATAGATATTGACAATGACAATAATAATCTAGGTAATTGGTTTGCATTTAGATTAAAAAAATACTTTACATAAAAAAATATTAAAATATGTATGTGGTATTATTGGTTTTGTTCAAGATGTGTTTATTTCATATTATTTTTCAAATAGATTGCAATCATTGTATTTTACATTGTATCAAAGTTGGACCAAGTTTGTCGTATATAACAATAATAATATATACAAATAGTTAAAATATTGCGATGCTTGTTGTAAGCGTGGAATGAGTAAAAGTTATTTTAATAATTCACAACAAGATATAAAATTTGAATGAGTACGTTAAATTAATAATCACTGTATAACTTTGGTAGCGAAATAACACTGTGTGTGTGATACTGTGCTACTGAGCTCCGACCCAACTGATATGGGAGCAGACTGTTCTAAATATTGAAATGGGGGTTCTACTTATAGTATTGACCTTTATTGATATCTTGTTCCATATTAAATTTTTGTTGTTTATTTGGAATAAGTGCATGGGTATAGTCAAATATATATAATATGGTTATTATTTATTAATTGTTTTTGTACATATTTTTATTAATATCAGGGTAGGTATATGTCTACAGATATTTATTATGTTTTAATAGTGTTTATTAGATATTGTATGGTCACATTGATTTCACAGTGAGTATGAATGTTGTTGTTGTGTATAATTTTGGGTAATATAATTGGTATCTATATGGGTACAGATATTTATTGTATTATTTTGGTAATGACATATTTAATAGTATTATGATGGTATTGAATCACGAAGCTGTGTTGGTGAAATTATGCAGATATCATTACAGTGCTCGAGGATCAGTCGTCTTAGGCTATTTTTTTATTACTTATTTACATAAAATATCGTCTAATTAATTTTAAAATGTCAGGAAATATTATTTGTTTTTCTGACTATACATTATAATTTCTGCAATTGAACATAAAATAAATTGATGAATATTGTATTATACTTAGCGATTTAAAGCACCTACGTCATGTATAATAATATTTTTATATTTACGATAATTTAATAATTTAATTCATTCAAATATCGTTATTATTGTTTTTGGTACCTAAAGGCAATATTAGTTCAGGACATATTAACTTTTTTTAAATTCATCACAACCAGGTATTGTAACAACCAGGGTCAGGATTCGTATTCTGTGAAGTGTGGGGCTACTATAAAGAATAGTTAATATTATATATTTATTAATATTAAAATCGACAGAAACTCAAAACCTTTAACTTAAAGGTTAGTCTTAAAGGCTTTAAGAAACTAAATGTTTAACTCAACTTTAACTTTTATACTCACTAATGCACAGCATAAGTATAATAAAATTATTGACTATACTTTAATTATAACAAGGAAATATATAGATTTTAATTGAATACCTATCATAAGGAATAATTAATAGATTATCGTAACAATTTCAGCTGCCACCGATGTTTTAAACATCCTTTCAAACTTTTGTTCTCGAAAACTTAGAAATCCCAGGTGAAGCAAAAGAAAAGTGTTTTGGTGTAAATATTTGCAAATAAATAACATTATCTCCCCCGTCGGGACCCACCTTGATGTGGTGGGGGAGCTTGCGGGCCTTTAGTTAGGTCTTACCAAGCGGTCCCAACCCGGCTGTGACCTTAACCGGTTGAAGTCGGAGCTTCAAGAGCCGCCCTTGCCTTAAACAGCTGGGGTCGGCAGGTTGGAGGTAGCCTGCTAGCGCTAGCAAAGCCCTAGTGGAAGGAAAACCACGATAAAAAATTCTGAGCTGGCCCTTTCCCTGAATAAGTGATAGGAGAGAGGGCTGGTAAGGTCGGAGGCAGCCTGCTCTCGCTGAGCGAATGCCCTAGTGGAAGAAAATCCATGATAAAAAAAACCCTTAACCCCCAACTCGTAAAGGGGGAGTACTTGGCACGGAGGTCAGTGAAACGTGTCTACGAGGACCCTGTGGAAGACCAGGCAACCTTCCACAGTAGCCTATTTTGGCAGCCTTCACTGCGGTACGCTGCACTGCCGCAGTGCGACTTTTATATCATGCATACTCGTGGGAATCATATGGAGAACCTCAAAAAACCAAACCGACTTGATACAATGGACAAAACAAACGCATCGGAAAACAGCAACAATGGAGAATATGGAAAACTTAAAAACAAATATGGCATTAGGAACACCCTTCAGAAAGCGGGGTCGTCTACTTCTACTGAAAAGGTAAATTTTTCTCGTAGTTACGATTTTCAATATTTCCAACACAATTTTTCTTCTAAATTCGTAGATGTTTATTGTGTATGCACTATGCAAACTTAAATTTTATTTTTAAATTATGATTCTCTATACACTTATACACATAATATTATATATTTTGGAGTATAAGAAAAATTGTGTCTGAAAGTCGAAGACACTATATTAATGAAAATCCATCTGGACTTATTTAAGGTCCTTGCATATACCGGCAAGAACGTAGCTGTAGCTACCAACAAGACCTTACCTGACTACAAGCGAAAGCGATCATCTTATGAATATGATGACCATCATAATAGAAAATGACAATTCGAGACATCGAACCTCAACATCACCACTCGATATCCATCATGTAATTGGTAAGTAATATACATGTCATCGACCCAAAGACATAATAACGAAATATACGGTCGATATCAGTGCTTCACTATTTTAAAGTCTAACCAGAGCGATGATTGTATTGATTTTTTCATGGTGTTCGCAGTGTTGAGAATAGATACAAAAAAACATTTAATTTACGGACTTTTTAATTAATAGATTAGTAGAAATAAATAGTTATATAGATATATATGTTACGGTCCAAGTAGAAAAATGGCCATTGTAAACATTGAAAATTAGTTATATACAATGACAGAGTTTCAAGCTTGATTCCGTGTAAATAATTATATACATAAACGATAGATGGGGTCCGATCTCTGTTTCTTATTGTCCGTACATTTTGATGCGTAAATTTTGTTAATTCTACTAAAATCAAAACTGCCCTTCTTTCACTCGGTAATAACTTCATTGTTAATATCATATCTAGACATCAAGCCGAACGATAATGTACCAAATAGTAATGACAAGTCAACTATTGTTAAATCTGAAGCGGATTTAGTAACTAGTGTAATACGTCACTATCGTCTGAGCGTACCCCGTACTCACGTACCGCCTGATGATAGCGACAAAAAGATTAAAAAAGTAACAAAGGATAATTATTATTTCATTCAGTATTTATTAATATATTATAATTTTTACAGGGAAAGTATGGAAAACCACCCATTTCTGGATCGAAGTACTTACTCGATGTCAAGGGAGACGGTAATGTTCCCCTTTCACTCCCTAAAGCTGCGGGGACAAAAAGAAAAAGAGTATTGACTGAGACCAGTGACAGAAAACTTAAAAAAGTAATAAAGAAAAATTGTTATTTTTTTCAGTATGTATATATTAATATATTGTAATTTAAATAGAAAAAGTATGAAAAACTATCCAATGTGGGTTCAACGAATCAACGTGATGTCGCGGAAGACGGTAATGTCTCTCCTTACTTCTCGCAACCCCCTCCCCCCAAATACATCGTCCAATTAGAGGTAGTGTTCAGTGAGCCGGTTGGCCACTGCTTTCCCAAGGAGAAATCAAAATTATTTAGGCAAAGTTCTACACTTAATGGCACTTAGTGTGAACGGGATATGATCTGGTGTGTTTAATTTTGATCCATTGGATGTTGCATGTTTATATTTGTGTTCTTTTGAGTATATTAATCAAACAAAGTATGTATAGATACCAAGTACCTACCCATAGTATATCATACAGCAATATTACATTTATTTGTTGAGAGCATATATCAAACAGCTTTAACATTTTAAGGAGCGAATTAAATTACACAGGCGTTACTCAGAGAGCAGATTACGAATGAAAAATTGAAAAAAAAAAACCCAATTCCGAAGCAAATATGACTAGTTAATAATGATATTTAAGTCACACTTTTATATTTTTATCGATGACATATAAATACGTCTTAAATAAGTGTAGAATGTAGATCTATCATATTTAGGGCGCATGTAAACTCTGCCAGTGAAAAAAATAGTATAAAACAGTATACACTCTACAATTAATATAACATAAGTACAGATAATTTAATGATAGACAATTGTAATAACTAGTAATCAAAAAATATGTAGATATATTATGTTATTATGACATTAAAATATGTTATAATACTTATAATAATTTGAACTGTGATCTAAAATTATGAGATACTATTTGTAGAAATTTAAACCATTAAGTCTAATTTAAATCCATTATCACAACTATTTATTGTATATAGCTTTCTCTAAACCAATCATTTTTTTTTTCATTTTGAATTTTTGAGTTTACTTAGTAGAGCAATATTCAAATATCATATAGTTTTACAAAAGGAAGTCATTAATAATAGCGGAGTTTCCATATACCTATTCCAGGTAAGAAAATAAAAGTGGAGGAGTTAAAATTAACCGGTATTCTGGCAGAGTTTACAATCGCCCTACAAATAGGTTAGTTTATATTATTTATAAATTATAAGCAAAATCATATAAAATAAAAAATACACATAGGCAGTAAACGTATATATATAAAACATCATTTAGATACATCTTTTGAAAACGTATATTATATTATACTGCAGTACAATCTCGTAAAATACGGATTTATTAAATTATAATATTACTTTACAGAATAATAAAATTTTCAATCTCACATTAAAAACAATGTCGATAATTATTTAATTTAAGTATTATTAATTAATTTATTATTTTATTTCATTTCATAAATACATATAAACACTGGGCCACACAGAAAATTTGGGCTATATATTAGAATACAATTTAAATGTTTTCATCCTTTTTTATTACTAGGTAATATTAATATTACTAGTATTATTAATCCGTTTAAGACAAACTCCATAGGACATTAGGACTGGTTAAAAAACGTATAGTTCTGGAAATTGTTCATCAAATTACAGGATAAATAAGCATATAATATTATTATTAAGCGAGATTACTTATTTATGCTGTATTTTTTAACAGTATTAATATGTGTTCTGCCATGTACTTTAACAATTTATATTAGTGACTATTTATGCTGTACTTAACTTTTTTGGTTTATTAACCAGTCTCAGTAGTTAGTTATAAATATGAAATACAATTTTCAGTTCTGGAAAATATGATCCGACCTGTTGCATCAGACTTACTATCTGGAGTTGTGAACGGGGATATCAAAATATGTAAGCGGACTCGAACACTGGAAAAGAATGTAAAATTTAAATTATTTATTTTATTTTAATAAATAAATTTATTTAAAAGTCTTATATTTCTATAATGTACATTTGTAGAGTACGATTCAAACTCCAGTACGATGTCCGGGTGTAATAAAATTTGGAAAATTCGAAGTGGAGACGTGTTATTCTTGCCCATTCCCACAAGAGGAGGATTCTCCGAGATTAATATTTTGTGAATATTGTTTAAAATACACTAAATGTCAATCGATTTTGGAAAGACATATGCGACACTGTAATTGGAGAACACCACCAGGCACAGAGATCTACCAAAGTGGAGATTTAAGCGTTTTTGAAGTAATTTAATTTTATGAAACAATTCACTAGAGAAAAACTACCTACACAATTTTTTATTTATTTTTTCAAACAGGTTGATGGAAAAGTAGACAAAAGTTATTGCCAAACACTATGTCGATTGGGGAAATTATTTTTGGACCTAAAAACTCTGGACTATGGCGTTGAACCGTTCTTATTTTATATTGTGACGAAAAACGACGGTTTTGTAAGTGTACCTACCTATATAAAAACATTTTAAATTGTAATTTTCGAAGTGAAAACATCAATTAGCAGGGTCTGCCTTTCTCTCGAATTATGTGACTAAACGCGTAAAAGAATCATTGAGCGATACTATAACAAAATATTTAACGCTGTCAATCCAAATTATCTTAAGTCCATACATTAATATATATATATTTATGTGTATGTGTGTTTTTGTTTTTCTGCGCCCAATTAGAAGTCCACCCATTATAAAACTTTAAATTTTACTACAAGTCAATATTCCAAATTTATTAGTAGAAGTATTTAATTCTGTCTACCGTCGCAAGACGGTAATTCACTTTTTATTTTTTTTTTATTTTTGTCTACCATAATTATATTGTAATAATGTTCAATTAAAAATGTTAAGGGCTGTCATTTGGTTGGTTATTTTTCAAAACTAAAACAAAATGAAGAAAATTTTAATGTAGCTTGTATCGTTATCATGCCACAGTATCGAAGGGTATGGACGAATTCTCATCGAATTCAGTAAGTGAAAACTATATGGACCTGGGCGTTTTAGCATTTATCATGTTTAGTTTATTTTTTCAGGTTACCTTCTATCTAGAATCGAAAGACAACCGGGAACCCCGGAAACACCCCTTTCCGGCTTGGGAAAAATGACGTACGATGCATATTGGAAAGGTGTTATTCTAGAATATTTAGATAAACACAGAGGCATTGACAACATATGCATCAATGATGTTAGCAGTGAAACTGGTAATTTAAAAACATTTTATTTGAAACTTTTTAATCAGAATTTTGACAATCATAATATTAATAACAATTTTAATTTAGGTTTAATGAGACAAGACATTATAGACACGTTCAAATCTCTACACATGGTTGTGGAAATCTTTAAAGAAATGACCATATGCATAGACTGGAATGTTGTAGATTCCCACATAAAGAAGAAAATTGAATTAAAACAAATTCATATCGACCCAGATCGATTGAGGTGGACACCGTCAAATTTACCGGATGGCCAAGTTAGTTTTTTATGATAAAAAAAAACTATTTTAATTAATTATAATATTTTTTATTAGGATAACCAACATCTTGAAGAATTGGTTTTCATCAAGTGCCTTCCAGGTGGCTAACCCTAGTGTACCTGTGTGGGGCTGGCATGTATCCGGATTACACGCGGCTCACGAATGCCGCGATGGCGGGCCCGGTGGCGTTCAGAGCACTGTTCCCTACCATACCCGAGTCCACGCAATTGTACGTTATGAAGAACCGGCTAGCGGACGCCAAACGGGTGTTGGTCTGGTTGCGCGACGATGACAGTACGGTAGCCAATGAGATGGACGCCATGGTCGAGTGCATATGCAAGGAAAATGCGCAACACGTCCTTCACCAAGCCGTTCAGGGACTGGGTAAAACTTAAAGCGCTCATCGTCGGACAGGGCCTGTCCGTGTTCCGGGTGACAGCCAGCGTCAATTTGCTCATATATATGCACTTGACCGTCCACGCATACAAGCTCTCGTGGCATTTGCACAGCAAACGACGTAACCGATTACGGGTGGTCGTGCGTGGGTGCCGTCGGAGGGTTGTCGGTCGCGCACATAATCGGACTTGGCTGGCTGCTGTCCACCACCAACTGCAAACTGTTCTTGGCCAACACCCGGTCCATATCTAACCACGCGGTCATCACTATCACGCTGGCCGTCACGAAGTTCCTGGCCCTCAAGATTTACCCCGTGCTGGTGGACGACAGTGGCATTATGTACCGCAACTATCAGATATCGTCGCTGTCTGGGCTATAGTCTATAGTCACCTGCTTCCTGTGAACGAAGGCACGCGATCGAGTTCAACTGCTGCTGCTGGAGGTGGATGTGGGTGCATGGTGATGAAAAGTTCGATTTGTACGAGTACGAGTCGAGGACCCAAACGATTATTCTACGACTTTGGACACGCTTCGAGTGTGCAGAACGTTATACAAACATATTACACTTAATATACAATACAATATTATAATAGAAGTGGTGGGACGATCTGCTGCAGGAGAAGGACTCGCCCTGCGTTAATATTTTTTGCGACGAGTGCATTTGTCCGGAAATACTGCAGTCGTCGTCGTCGTCGTCAGGCACTTTAATATTAATTGTAAATAATATTATGTATATCAATCAATTTGTCTTTATTTTAAATATTGAATGTACATGATATTTGATATACATCCAAGTAAATAGCCTGTTTGTTCTATTATAATTTAAAGTAAAAACTTTTTACATTCGTCATTTTTTCTTTACTAATTCATAATATAATCAAAATATTTTAAGTACCTAATTTATTGTCTTTTTATTTATTTATTAATTATAATATGTCATCTATCTTTTGATAGATCATCTATTTTTCAAAAGAAGTACACTGATGTCGGTTGATAAGTGATTACTGAGAAAAAAAGGTTAATGACCAAATCATTAATAAGTACTTATTATTAAGGTTAAATAAACAGTTACATACTACTGTTTTATATACTGGGTAACTTTTGAACTTAAAATTCTTATTTTCACAGTTAACTGTCCTGAATACCTGATAAATACAATTATTTTTCGAGTATTAGCTTAACTTGTATTATGTTAGTATATATTACATTATATTTTCTAAATATACCTAGGTATCGGCTTTATTTAATTAATGACACATAATTATTTATTATATTGCGACTTTAAAATACCTACACAAAGTAAAAACAAATAATGAATGGTAAACGGTAATTTTGTACCTGGGTACAGTAGTACAGTACTACAGTATATTGTTTATAATCTATAACTCAGACACTTTGTATGGTCAGGTAAAAATATACATTACAGAACGCTTTGTAATTTGTGCTATTCTATACATTTTTATTTTTATTTTTTTATTATTTATACACAACACATACCAGCGCATGGTTCAGCAGGCACAATAACAGTATGATCTGTATAAAAAGAAAACATGAACAATTTTAATGAAAAATATACCAATTGATGACACTTTCGTATTTTATTTTCTATTATATACATACATAAAATATATATTATAAATATAAATTATACCTAAGTAGTATACACTATACATATATAATGTTAAACTTAAAAATTATGTTTCAGTTAGAAATTAATAAAAATCTTTAATTTTATAATTAACATTAGACATTTTGAACTACAATTGTTCCATAAATATTGTAAGATAAACCTCTTAAATATTGAAATGGTGTTATTTCAGATCAATTTTTCACAATTCTTCTTATTTTGTTATCATGCTTCTTGTACTTTTACATCGTGGTAGACTTGATTCTCTCGGGGAACAATTGCAGTTTAGCTACCCCTCGCTATTTTGAATTTTTTTTATCGAAACTTATGTAACTCATCGAGTTAAGAACGATGGTGCAATCAGAATTTGTCGCTCTCACTTAGTTTCGAAGTTATGGCCTTCCAAAGTTTTCAATTTTACGTTTATATGCATGCGCGCAACACTACTATAATGCCGCGTGGAGGACCATTTTTGTTATTTTTTTGTACTTCCGTATTCTAACCTATTAAAAACGATGGTGCAATAATAATTTATTAAAAATAATCAAGAATAATTATTACAGAATAAAGTTAATATCAATTAAATGATAATAATAATTAATAATACATTTAAAAATTTACAACAATTCAATATTGTCTTCGCCATCAGTGTCTGAATCGGACTCTGTTGTTTCGTCATTATTCTGTGGTGTGGCGAACCAGTGCCTTCGCCATATACTCCCTCCCCATGTCGGTCGCGCTCCCTGCGTTGGCAACACCGCTCGGCCCTCCGCGTCGTTCGCGCCCGCGAAGTGTCGGGCACTCGGGCGGCTGCCAATTGTCACTCACTCTCTCTCTCTCGGCAACCGTCAACCGACGTACACGACACGTACCGACGTACACGACACCGTCCCGAGCACCGCCGCCATCTTTTTGCCACTGGTAAAAACATTCTTTTCCACACACGCCACGAGTTATCGCGCTCTAACAGTTCGCTCGAGAAACCGCCATCTTTTCCGTCCGCGTGCTCGCGTTACACGTTTTTAGTACTCAGCAACACGAGTCACGACCACAGGTCTCCCTCAAGTACACGACCCGTAACACGCACTCCGCGACGGACACCGGCGTACCTACTCTCATCGCGTAAAAATCCCGACCCGTGCGTCGGTACAGAACATCGAGACTCGACACCGTCCCCGCTGCTAGTGACCGGCATTGCCTCATCTTACTTTGTAATATTTACGTCCGACTAATAACAATAAATATTTATCTACTTCAAGCCGTCTCAGAGTACATTATTTCGTACCTTGTGTATGTTGGCCGCGTAAGTTGTAACATCCAAAAACCTACGCTCGCCACAATAGTTTTTGACTTTTTGTTTACACCCCGAGCTATCTGTTTTCATATAGTCTGTGATAATAATATTGAAGTTATACTATAACTATATTGACTATTGAGTATACACGTTTTCGGTTAATCATATTGTTCATTTTATACCTCTTGAGTATTGTTATTTTATATTTTTTTATTTCAATTTTTAATAATATCAATATTACTGTGCCTACACCGCGACGCCGTTGAACTCGACAAAGCCGTAGGACCGAAATCCACACCCGTCACACGGGCGCAGCTTTTTGTTTTGTTGTCGTGATTCGTGGTCACTTGTCTTGTCGCTCGCGCCTCGCCGTATATTCGTGTTTCGCACAGAATCCTCCATCGACCGCGACGGAACGCTGAGAATCGCTGCTTCTACTTCCAACGTCAACACGGTTAGTCATATAATTCATTTTGTACCTATTGATATATTGTTACTTTTATTTTATTATTTATATATTCAATAATAACAATATTAAACGCCGTTAAACTCAACAATACAGTAGGATCACACGCACAAACTTTAATTGTTTCGTTGTCGTGATTCGTGATCGCGTGGTCACTGTTGTCACTTGTCAGTTCTCAATTCGCAGTTCAACATTTGCCACTCGTCACGTCTTGTCAGTTTTCGATTGCGCCGTCCGCCATCGATGGAACACTGAGAATCTCTGCTCCTACTTCCTACGCCGACACAGCTACCGCGACATACCACGTACCGCCCGGAAAGCGACTATAGGTAAGAATTCTCACAAAATTCGTCTAAATCATAAACATTTGCAAATCATATTAAGTTTGCAGGTAGGTACTACACGTGTCGTATGCTATCTACTGGCGTATGCAATCTTCTCAAAACGATTGCTTGTGTCGTATGCTGTAGACGTAAACAAAAATATTTTATACAAATGTGTCTTTTATGTCTCTTAAATAACTTACTCTTACATATTTCCAAAAACATTAAATTGTATGTGTTTGAGCACCCGTATGGATTTATGAAGTTTGGTATGGTTGTGAAGAAAAATTGTAGGTTGAACCAAATTGAAGGATTACGGGGAAAAACGATAATAGTCAATATTCCTAAAATGTTCAGTATTTGGGACTCTGGTCTTTTTTTCCCGTTATGGTAATACTTAAAGCTGTATTATACCTATCATTGACCATGATCTTTTTTCCATAACTCGACTCACGTGTCGATTTGAAACTAACCAAAAGGTACTATTATTATTTGATTTTTTTCTTTCTTTTGACTATGATTTTTTTCCCCGTAACCCTTTAAATGTATAAACATTACCTCCCCAACCAGAATCTTGTTATTTTTTTATAGCGCTCAATTCCTGTAAATTCCTGTTATACCTGTTTACCCAGAAGTAGAACTGAATATGGTATGTAGCTTAGACACGTCACCCTAACCATATCTGGGGAAACTTTGACTTTCTAGGTAAACAGGTAGAGCAGGAATTATAAAAAGTTGACCATGTGAAGGTGAAATTCATAATATTATTCTTTAGTCAATGGTAGGATATATTCTAGTGTCTACTGTCTAGTCTTCATGAGTAATGAGTAGGGCTCGGATTTTTAAAGAAGCATTTTAAGTAGCAAAAAAAAGCAGAAAAGGCATTTAGGTATTAATTTATTTCTAAAAAAACAAATTTCAATTAGGTACACATAAAATTAAATTTAAAAAAAGGAATTTACAACCATAATTTAGTCAAGTTACATTCATTAAAACTCATTCTATTGGGTGCCATAATTTAGTCAAGTTACATTCATTAAAACTCATTCTATTAAGTCCTGCCCATCCATTATACTTTGAAAAAACACTGTTGCACTTTTCTAAAATCAATTTCGCTACTTCACCATTAGCTTCCTCTAACTTTTGTTATTCTTCTAACACAATACTTTTACCGGCCAACTACAGTATTAGAACGTGCAATAAAAATATGCAGGTATAATTCAGATAATTTTCCCTTTCCTTGAGTCGTAAATACAACTATAGATAATTGTAGATAAAACTATTTCGGCATAATAACCATAGTTATTTTATCAGTCATACATTAATTACTGGTTTTCCCACTGGTTTTATTATTTCTGATTATAATAATTAAGTCCAAGTTAAAGTATAATGTACATAGGTAGAAATAAGTTGAGTTTTCAAGAAAAGTATGTAAAACTTAAGAAAAAAGAACCAAATAGAGGAAAAAGCAATAAAAAGCAGGTTTTGAGGAAAAAGCAAAAAAAAAGCAAAACAAGGTTTACTTCATTAAAATCAGAACGATTCAAAACGTATTTGTGTATAAGAATTATCTTTGTATGGCACTCCCCTCAAAAGAAGCATTTGCTACAAAAACCGAGCATTACTAATGAGTATACTCAACTTTGGTGTTATTGTAATAAATTATTATTAATGTTCATAATAAAAATAACAATATACAATATGCTCAACATACGGTTCATGTGCGTTGGATAAATTTAGATATAATGAACTTATTACGACTAACATACAATTCCCATCTTACATTCTTACTTCACAACTTCTGACTTAATTTATCCCAGTTGTCCCTACCAACATCGATTATTTATTTTGTATATTAGCCCATAGTTTAATACCATATCTTTGTCTAGAACTCACAAATTGATTTGAATTCAACTGCAGTAGGTAAGAAAATGATAGGTCTCGTACCTATTCTAAAAACTTATTTTAATTTAATCTGACTAATAATTTAATAATTTCTTAACATCAGCATTATGTTGTTTTTTACCCTGTCTAAACTCTAAAGCACCTAAATTTAGTATTAAGTTTTAACACAATGATGATAATTAAAATTAATCACAATTTTTAAAATATATTTAAAGTTGTTAGGCACATCAGTAAAAGAAATGGATACCATTCAGGCTTCATCTTGTGAAAATAATCTAAAGCAAATTCTGAAATCAAATGAATGTGAACCAACAAGTTTTAGAAATGACTCTCACTCTGTAAGAATACTGGAAAATTTACAATCTCTACGCAAGTAGGTATGTTTACAGTGATTTTACCTTCATACAAAATAAATATCACTTACATTTTTGTTTTTAGAAATGAGTTTTTATGCGATGTTAGATTTGAAGCAGATGATGGTAAAATTGTAATTGGACATAAAAATGTACTAATAGCAGCTAGTCCATATTTCCGTGCAATGTTTAGTAATTTTGAAGAAAGCAATAAAGATCTTATCAATATAAGAAAATTAGATTCCTCAATTTTACACTTATTAGTAGATTATATTTATACTGGAGAAATTATGGTCACAAAAGAAAATGTACAGGTAACTATAATTAAATATTTAATTTTATATAGACTTCAAACAACATAATATCATTTTATGTGAATTTTTTTTTTATTTCTAAGGTGTTATTACCAGCTGCAGATGTATGGCAGTTAGATTATGTAAATGGTGTATGTGCTGAGTTTTTACAAAAACAACTGAATCCATCAAATTGTCTTGGTATCAGAGCGTTTGCTGACTTATATAACTGTACTGATTTGTTGTCAATTTCTGAAGCATATATTAAACAAAATTTTTTGTATGATTAACATTTTTTAATTCTCCATATCAAGAGTAAGTAGGTAATTTATTATAAAAATAATGTTTATTATTTCCAGAGAAATAGCTAAAAGCGAAGATTTTCTATCCTTATCTTCTGAAGATTTGGTGAAGCTTATTTCCTCTAATGACCTTGCTGTTCTATTTGAAGAAAAAGTAAACAAACTAAAAATTGTATTTTTAATATTTTGTATGGAAAATCAACTTATGAAGGTTTACAAGTTGTACAATACAGTTGATGTCTAGACTCCACAGGAATCACTGTATCAGATGTGTTATATTTGAATTCAATGATATAAAATCATTGTAAACGAAAAACGATTCTGAGCAAATACGGTTTAATAATATTACTAGAAGTATATTTTATGATATTGTTAATAAACTAATATATTTTACTATTAGACATTATTAATACTGTATTTCTGGAGCAGTTTTAATTATTTTTCCAAAAAAGTTGCATATGAAAAGATCATTGTGTGCATACAATATAACAATATACTTTAAAATTTTAAGTTCCTACAAATAATATTTTTAAATTAAATAACTAAAATTAATAAATCTTGATGACCATAGAAAATAATTTTATTGACTGTTATTGAATATAAACAAAACAATTTCTTATTTTAAATGTCTATAAATATTAATTAACTCTAAAATAGTTAAAACGTTTTTTAAAATTAGCTAAAATCAATTGTATATTTGTATCTCCTTGATGATAAAAAAGTTTTGTGGTCAGCCCCGACTGTAATTAATTTTCTATAACTTTCACCTCCACGTACCACATTGATTAGTCAGTAGGCCCAAACAATTTTGCAAACGGAGCACATAAACCTTTTACTGCATGTCTATATTGTGATTTATGTGTATTCAAAAATAACAAACAATATATATTATTTAATACCATTCAAATATAAGAATTATTAATTAATATTCCTTTGCTTAATATAAACAGTAGGAACATAAGATCTTAAAGATCTATTATATTTTTGGGATCCTGTGATAATTATTCTCTATTGAATGGTTGAACAAACTATTATTATTTTTTAATCTAGTTTTAAATATTTTTTACTGTAGGTATTTGAATGTGTTATCAAATGGGTAAAACATGATTCAGATCATAGAATTGATTTTTTGCCAAAGCTAATGGAACATATACGTTTGCCATTACTAAAGCCTGATATATTATATAATATATCTGAAGAACCTCTTCTAAAAAATAGTCTTAAATGTATGTTATTTTCATAAATATGCCATCATTATCGATTTATACATTTTATGAATTATTATTATAATTTTTTTAGGTAGATATTATATAATCAAAGCATTACATTTTAATCATCAAAAATCAGTTCAGTATTTTACCATTCCAAAAACAATTAGGTTTAAACCTAGACAGTTTGATGGTTTTCAAAAAGTATGATTCCAAATTGATTAATTTATCTTCACAATAATTTTGTCGATGTAATTCTATTAGGTTCTTCTAATGTTCAGTAAATCTTTTGACGTGTTTAATACATCGCCAAAGTGTTATACTGAATGGTATAACCCAGCAACCCAGCTAAGCAAGATTGCACCAGGGTTAAATGAAAGTCGGATGAGTGCTGGTTTTGGTGTGATAAATGATCAATTTGTGTTTGCTGTGGGAGGTGTAAATCGATCGAGTTCTAAATCTGTTAGTATGCTTGACGTATCTTCACAATCACCATCATGGGTTCCAATGGCTAACATGTTAGTTAGTAGAATGGATTTAGGAGTTGGTGTATTGGATGATTGTATATATGCAGTAAGTTAAATCAATATTTTATTTATTTTATATTAAAAATGTATATTATTTGTAATTCCAGGTTGGCGGACGTGATGGCAACAGTTCTTTAAAAAGTGTAGAGGTTTTTGATGTCAGTACCCAAAAATGGAGAATGGTGTCTAGTATGACAATTGAGAGACGTAATGTGGGTGTTGGTGTACTCAATAATCGTCTATATGCGGTGAATATTTATATAATTCCTTTATTTTTAATTTGCAATATGTAATTTAATTAAATTGTGTAGGTTGGTGGTTCTGCAAATGGTAACGGTTTGAAATCTGTTGAATATTATGATTCCACACTTGACATATGGACTCCGGTTGCAGAAATGTCTGAGTGTCGTCGAGATGTTGGTGTAGGGGTTTTGGATGGTCTTATGTACGCAATTGGTGGCGTTAATGAAAGGGTGTCTCTTAAAAGTGTTGAGGTTTATAGACCAAGTGATGGAGTTTGGTCTTCTATAGCTGATATGAATTTACCCCGATGTTTACCTGGTGAGTAGTGACTATGCCAATTATATTTTGTGTAGAATAACCTTTGTAAAAATATATTGAATTTAAATTACATTATCTTACAGTAGTAGCCGTATTAGATGGTTTATTGTATGTTTTTGGCGGAGAAACAGGATCTTTAAGTAGCAAGACTTTTGAAATTTACAACCCTAACACCAATACTTGGACCTTGGAAAGATTGTTAAGATTAAAAATTTATGGTGGAGTAGTTGTCGATAGATCCATAGGCGCAACTAGGATCAATTTTTTGGGGGGGCTAGAATTCGCCCCCGCACCCCAATAACCTTATAAACCGGATGTCCGGATGGCTACTGACAAATAAATAAATTCATATATTACAATATTTTAATTTTTAATTAAGTTATTATTCAATAGAATACTAATTTTCTATGAGCTGCTCCAAATTTATCAATAATTGTTTTTGTCTCTAAACTATTTGTTAGATCCCTTTCAATATTAATTATTGATAAATTTGAAAATCGCTCTTGTGTCATTGTAATCCTCTGCCAAGTTTTTAATCTACATCTTATGAAATGTACAACCTGGATAATAACTTAAATAATAATAATTTCAGGTTCTTTTAATTAAAAAAAAAAATTTTCCAATTTCTATGACGAATAGCCCCCCTAGCCCCCACCTAATTGCGCCTATCATAGACCACATCATTATCATTCATCAGCTTACAGTAGTACTCATTGTTAATAGTAATATGAACAAATTTTTGTGTAAATTATGATGACACGTGTATTGTTTTAAATATTTTTGTTATTTTCAATACCTGTTTGATATGAATGTTTTTTTTATAATTTATACTAACTATTTTAAAATAAAAAAATTAAGCTATACTTAAATTATATCTATAATCTACTATTTAAATTATTTTTTTAAATTTCTTTGTGGAACTTTGTATTGTGTACACATTAAAAATGTACTTGAAATTTGTAGCTCATTATTATTTCATCATTTTATATACATGATAAAATATTCAAAATATTTCGACTCGTATTAAGAGATTTATAGATGTTTTGATTTTTTTTTTTTAGTTGATTTTCTATAAATGTTCATAATAATGTTACTGTTGGGTCAGAAAGCTTAATTCTTTGTTCCTCATACGTTGTTATGGTAACAGTTTAAAAATGTTATTAATGTATGATCACAATTTTTTTATAAGCATTTACTTCAAATTTTTAAAAAACTATGCTGTTAAAAACGTATAAATTGTTCAATTTGTATAGCTAAGGATTGAAAATTAAAAATAAGGTTTCTACTTTCCTGTTAGTAATTTAATCTAAAAAATATATAAACCCAGTTTTTTTGGTGATAGATATTTTAAGTTCAAATTTCAGGCGATACTTCACAATTATATAAAGAGTCACTATTTATTTTTAGTTGTTTTGTTGTAATTTAAAAAAAATTATTCATGAATGGGCAATTGATATTTAAAAGTATACAGGGTGATTTTTTTATCGTGAAGCAGTTAATATCTCTGGAAGTATTAGGAATTTTAAAATAATTTTTTTTTAAACTTTCTAGGTTTTACTATTTTACACTGTTATAATTTTGAAAATTTTAACTTACTCCCTTATTTGATAAAACACTATCAAATTTCGATTTTCAAATGGCAATACCTATTTTCGATAACGAAAATCTATAAACATACTGAAAAAAAAAATTTTAACGTTTACAGAATTTAATTTGAGTAAGCCGCTTACGACTTATTAATGCTAAAATATTCGTTCATTTTACTGCTACTGGGAAATTTAACAACCCAACTGTAAAAACCAGAAGTCAAAACGAAATTTTATCTCAATTTAACAATACCCATAATAATCGATAATAACTAATAAGAACAATAGTACAAAGGTCACACGAATTCGGAATTGGACCTTAATATCTTATCACCCCTTCCAGCCGAACACATCCGAGTGTCCAGTGAAATAGTGAATACTGAATAACCATAGACATATTAATAGACATGTGAATAACACATATATATTGAAAATTGTATCGTATGCTACAACTGTAGATCGAAGATACCACCACAATACCACCTTCACGTCAATGTAGCGAAATTGCATATACACAGCGCCGGCTAACAGATGTTAATATTATAATGACTGAAATAATATTAATATAAAGGTAACAATTAATATTATTTATCAGACCATAAACTTCTTTTTTTTTCGTTTTAGACTCAACAGAGCAAATTGTATTAATACTATACCATGTCCACTGACTTTATTTCAACAGAATTTCTTAGTGAAAATAGGTACAGTCGATTCCGCTTTATTGGGACACATCGGTTGGCTGTAATTTTGTTCCAATAAAGCGGTTGTCCCAATAATCCGAAATACAAAAACCAACATATAAATTTGTTGAAAAACTGATTTGTTTTATATATTTTTATTATTACAAATTACAAACAATGTATTATAGAAATTATTTGATAGTACAAAAAGAAAAACATGATATAACCTAATTATTTATAAAAATACTTACATATAAAGTACATATAAATATTTTTTATTTTTTTATTATGTACCTATTTTATCTTATTTAAAAAACTGTTGATTTCGGTACTCCTAAAATTTCCGAAAGACGACGTGTATTACAGCCTGGTAGCTGTAATTTAATTTTGTCCAGAATTTCTAATTTTTGAGCAAACGATAAATCTTTACGTACACGAGCCATTGTTGCTACACGCGACAAACACGACTGATGCACCATTGCACCAAATAACATTTAACAACTATCACATTTGAACATACGATAAAAGATAAGATAAAATAAAGTTAAATAAGATAAAATGTAAAAAAAGTAAAAAACTTAAAAAATTATAAGGATAAAAATATTTAAAAATATAATTTTTTAATAAAAACGTTGTTTTATAAGCGACTTGAAACTATGTAAAAAAATATCTTCAAAAAAATTTACACTTTTTGAAATAATATATATATATAATGGTATACTGGGTGATTCTTTTATCAAACAACACTCATTATTTCAAAAAGTGTAAATGATATATTATGTCATTCAAATTTTTACTATCAACTATTTCATTATTAACATTATTATATTACACATAATTATTGTTATTTTTAATTGACTCTTTTTACTTATTATTATTTTTATATGATCCAAAAAAAACAGTGTACCTATTATACAATCATACATAATAATAATTATTTTTAATATTTTTTAATTAATTATCTCTTTATACTTATTATCATTATTATTATGATTAAAAAAAAACAATCACCAATTTTTTTGGAGATTACTCTGCTAACCTCCACGTGGTGTCTTCTGGGTGGTAATAGGCTGAAGGGACTCAACTCGAACAACCTAAAAATATTGGTCGGACTCAACTCCGATAACCCAAAAGTATTTGCTGGACTCAATTCAATATTTGGGACTCAATTCAATGTTATCCGTATTAGGTAACACTAAAAAAGAGGGTGCCCAAAAGAATAATTTGGTAAACAATATAACATAATATGTATGAGTTATGAAAATTTATAAGGATAAAAGATGTAGGTAACAGAACTAAAATAATAACGTATAATTGGGCATAAAGTAGAGGTATTCAGTACCGTAAAAAAAAAATTAATAATAATATGTAGGTATACATATAATATGATATATAGGGCCCAAGAGAATAAAATAAAGAAATATAACAACACTATATAATATGATAATTTTATAAAACGAATATTGATAACAATATATTATCATCTATTTTTTTTTTATTAATTATTATCCTGCGGCAACTTAGGCCATTGGGAGGGAGGTGGTACTGTAGGTTTTGGAACGGTAGGTGTGTTATACGTGGGTGTATTTTTTGGAAGAATTTCGAATGGGGCACCCGTAGGTTAGGTTTATCATCTATTACTGAGACCTGAAATATGGCAACTCGACTTGGATATTATCCAACTGTTCAAGTTTGTAATTCATTTCATACTGCCACCGAAGGGCGGCGATGCGTGACGACTTGTGGACACGTGGACGGAGGACGAACAAGGCGGATTACCGGCTCACAAGCTCGCACACCACAAACACGTTAAATACCTATGGGTAGACTGCTCTGTTTAATACCTCGCGGATACGTGGTTAGGTTAGGTTAAAGAGCAGGCTCGACGTTCCAGGACGGCCGTGGCGCTCGCATGCAGGCTTGGCGTTCAACATGATGGAAGCGAATGTTAAAGGACGGCGGTTTAACTATAACTAATTTTTTAATTCAAATTTAACACCATCCATTTCAGTGACTCACTTGTAACCTACTGTAGTACAGCAGAGCGACACCCACTTATCCGATTTTTTAATATTTTATTTGATAAAATACCTATTTTCACTAAGAAATTCTGTTGAAATAAAGTCAGTGGACATGGTATAATATTAATATAATTTGCTTTGTTGAGTCTAAAACGAAAAAAAAAAGAAGTTTATGGTCTGATAAATAATATTAATTGTTACATTTATATTAATATTATTTCAGTCATCATAATATTAACATCTGTTAGCCGGCGCTGTGTATATGCAATTTCGCTACATTGACGTGGAGGTGGTATTGTGGTGGTTTCTTTGATCTATATTCTATATTATTATTCGTTATTATTTATCTCTAGTTGGTAAATGCACATTAATATAATATTATAATATTAAATTAATGTATTTTGGTTTCGATGACAGTTGTAGCATACGATACAATTTTCAAAATCACAATTCAAATAATTTGTATACATTTATAAATTTTAATTCAGAAAAATAATATGTTTTAGTTTTTAAATACTTTTTTATAATATTTTATATTAATACAATTTTATAATTCTGTAATTTGTTAATGTCCATTATGTTATTTATGTAAATAATTAACAGTTATAATATATTTTTTGATTTTATTATGTAACCTTAAGAGGACATAACACCCGCATGTGTTGTCGCCGCCTTACAAACGCGTAAAATAAATTCAAGTTTTATGCCGTATTGCCGTTAGTATAAAAATTAGAGTGAATTGAACTATCATGAAACTTGACGGTAAGAACATTATCTGTGTTTTGTTGGAAGTTTTTTTACGACAATTCAGTTTTGAAGTGATTTATAGCGTGTATAATAAATGTAAATTAAAAATGCTCATAACTCAATCAAAAACAGAATGATCGAATATTGTATAAAAACTTCCAACAAAACACGGATAATGTTTTTACCATCAAGTTTCATAATAGGTCGATTCACTCTAATTTTTAAGCTAACAGCATAAAACTTGAATTTCTGAGCTTAAATTTGGTGTGATGTATTTGTAAGCCGTCAAGGACACATGCGGGTGTGGCGTCTTCTTAATATATTTTCATTTCAATTTTTACATATATTTAGTGCAATTTCCAAGTATTTTTAACGGAATTAAATGCGGCCTTTACTTATAGGTCATAACTAGAAAAATGGCTCTCTCCATTACCAGTTAGTGCCAGTTAGATGTACCAATATAAATATATAGGTAGTTATTATATTATATTATATCAAAATATTATTTTTTCGGAATAGAATATTCCCATGTTCGATGGGTAGGTTAGGTTAGGTTCCCACACATTCACATTCACTGTCATAGTTTATTGAAAATTAACCGGTAAAATAACCCTCGCAAAATATAATCCAAACAAAATGTATTTTTCGCAAGAGTTTTTGATCGGCGTGTCGTTTGCTTGCGTCGATGGCGGTGGAATGGCGTTATTGTTATCAAGACAAAAGCATCAACCTACTGATGTACGTGAACAGAGAAATATGAAAGAAAACGTAGCCAGATTAGAGGGAGGCTGGTAGAACGTATATGAAGATTGAGGGTAATTAAATCCAGTGGCTCAAGGCGTGAGTTTTTGGTTGGGGAGACTTTGAAAAAAAAAAAGCTCTAACCCTATGTCCTAGCTTGTGCGGGCGAGTGCGTGCGTTTTATATACTGACCACGTTGTTCTGCACGCAATGCGTTGTCCGCATGCGATGAAATACGAGCTATTTTGTTATTCCCCACATGCTTGCAAACCATCTAGGACATGGCGTAA